ATTCAGCTTTAATCCAGATTTCACCTGCATTACTTTTTTTTCTGCTACACGTCTTCCGGTTGATGGCCAGCATGATTCACCCCACTTCCTCTGAGCCCAGGTCATCCTGGATCCATGTAATAGTAAAACCACTGTGCTAAGTGAATGTATAATCCTGGATCCACCCCCAGCCTGTCACTGGACAGTGAAAGAGGAAGTAGGACAGTGATGAGCTCATCTCTCTCACTCTCCTTTCCCCTCCTATCAGCATGCTTCTTGTCTGCATATGAACTGATTGTCTCCTTGTTCTGCTACTTCGTACACCCCAGTCCTGCTGTACAGGGACTGCAAGAGGCTGATATTAGGCCAATTTCAAGTACTTATACTGCCTGCATGCAAAAATATATTTGATAATGATTGAATAGCTACATTAATTTGTGTCTTTTATATTTGGCTAGTGCTCAGCTTTAAAGAGACCCTGTCACAGGGTCACCTTATGTTCACTTTCACATTTGTCCCCTTTGGTTAAAGCTGAATAAACTTCAGGCAAGCAACTAGATAGACAATTGAAATACACGTACAGAAACCGTTTTACCTGCTAACTGATTTGTAATTCTGTGCAGCAGTCTTGTGATCCAGACACCCCTGCCAGGGGCACAGCACAGCTGGATCTGCCACTTCCACTGAAGCACATAACTTTGATTACTGCGTACAATTGCTACTTTTCTTTCTCCTCTTATCATCATGTTCTCTGTCAACAAATGTGCACTGCTCATGGGGGCACATGCTCTTCATAATTACCTAGTCTAATAGGTCTGAAATGTATTTCCCATGCTCCTCAGCTCCATCTAGTGGCCATAGCACAGAATTACATTTCAATACATTCAGCCTGAAAATAAAATATACTAAAAAATAATTACAGAGATTCAAAGGCTCCGGAAAGTGAATGGATCTGGAAATTGTTTATAAATATACAGTACTCCTAAGTGTCGTCATGGATTACATTAAAAAAATTAATTATTTAAAGTGTAACTCCGCTTTTGCAGCCAAGCTGGCATAACACCCACTTTATATTTGTTACATGTTCCCATTCACATTGCATCATTTTAAAAAAAAAAATTGTTGCTTACCTTTTCACTTGCTTAAAAATACTAGATTTTCTCTTCTATTTATTGTCAAGGAGGGGGCTGGGGAGTTAAAGTTTATCATAATTAACCCTGTCTGTACTGTGCTGGAAGATCTCATTATCAGTTGTAAACTAGATTTCAACATTGTCTGTCCTAACTCTGTCCCTCTGAAATTGCTCAGAATAGCTTGCAGTCCTGTGTATAATCCTGAAGAAACACTTAGAAAGGTAAGAAATATGTTCAAAGTAGTATTAAACCCTCTGCCTTTTGTAAATGTACTTGGCAATGTCATACAGTGCAACATTACCCAGTCATTTTTTTATTTAAAGGAGAATTATGGGGTGAGTGAAATACACTCTCCATTCCTCCAAAGCTGACTGGATGGGGCAGGAGGCGGGCACAGCTGGCTCTGCCTCTGGAGAGGCAGAGCCAGCTGTCAATCAGGTAGTGGGGGGATCCCGACAATATCTCTGCTATATCTGTCTCAACTGCAGAGCAGCTCTGCGCTATAGCATATAGCAGGAAGTAGGCCGCTATATGCTGAGTTTTGGGTCACAGGAGGACAATGGTATATGTCTTCCTGTGACCCTAAAGAGAACTATAGAAAAAAAATGTTAGGCCATAGTTCTCTTTTAAATAATTCCATAAAACATTTAATTGCCCTACCTGCTCACTACCAGCTGCTCCACAGTGCTGCTTCCCTCAAACTTCTGGGTAGTCTGGGTGGCTTTCACATGCACCATAAAGCAGCGACAGTGCAGGTTTTCAGCCGCTGTCAGTCAGAAGCTGGAGGGAGGAGCAGCGGAGTGTCTTGCCTCCCGTGTTATAATCTTCAATGGGCGTAAACAGACTCGTCCATGGATTGAGTCGGGAACACGTGCACACACATGTGGCTCTATGGGACCCTGTAACGTGATGGAGCCACCCTAGGAAAGGATCCTGAGGCAACATTTTTCACTGCTGGGATTGAAAGCACCCACAGGATGAAAATGGACATGCAAACAAGGTAAGTGGTGGGGTCTACCTCATTATGATAATTTTTTTAAATTAAGGTTTGATATCACTTTCTTTTTAGGTATGGTGTGTGAAAGGGAACATGTAACAAACATATAGTGAGAGGTCTCAAATTTGACTGCAAAAGAAGAAATGCACTTTAAGGCTCTGTTCACACCTAGGCGTATCGAATATGCGCGTTTCCGCGGGCTACTTGGCTGTATCCCAATGGAAACGCACAACAAAAACGCCGCAAAGAAGCTCATGTACCTTTTCAGGTGTAGGCCGTTTTGTAGCGCGTTCAGACGGGCTGAAATACGGCAAGGTGTGTACCATACCCATAGAAAACAATGGGATTTTCATATTTGAGCGTTTTGTAGAGCGTTCGTAGAGCGTTGAACGCGCTACAAAACGTACAGGTGTGAACCAGGCCTAAAGCATATGTAGGCAGCATTGTCACCCTCTTGTGTGAACTACAGGCAGCTGTGCTGATTAAAAGTGTGCCTGATCCTTTTGGTGTTGCCATCCAATGTGCTGCTGGCAACGTCCCCTGTTGGGTGACTGACATCTGACATCTTGTGACCATTTAGAAGCCGAGACTGGGACTTCCTGCCACAGTAATGTCCTTGGAAACCTTAAAGGAGAAGAATGGTGAGAGTAAAATATACTATACCCTACTATATCCAATAGGTAGAGCCGGCATGGGACACTGCAGCTGTCATACATAGGCTGTAAGACCGAGAGTTGATCACATGACCGCAGATCAGTCGGCTCTCCGTCTCTGCTCCCCGTGGAGAGCTGTTACTGTCAGTCACTACCACCTGCAGGGATTCTGTCTTCCCCTCTCTGCTTCATCAGTACTGTCTGACGCTCAGAACAAGGGAGAGGGTGGACATGGCTGGCTCTGGCTCTCACCCACGTGCAGAAAGGCAGAACCAGTTGTCAGTTAGGCAGCTGGGGTGGACAATATTGTGGCTACGGCTGGGCTGTCAATTGATGGCAAGCATTAGCCTGATATATGCAGACTTTGAGTCACAGGAGTATATTAATTAATAAACTCCTGTGACCCAAAAGAGAAGCAAGGCTAAAAAAAGTTTGGCTTAATTTCTCTTTTAAGTGTCTTCTCCTCTCTCACAGCCCTAGCCTGCAGGGACATAATTACTAAGGAAGCAGTCAATTGGCCACTCATAAAAGCAAATAAAAAATTTACGTAATTGATCGTTTTATAACAAGACCTACAGAGTATTAATATTGTATGTCTGCACCAGTGTGAAAACCGTGTATATGTGAGTTCACATCTACTTTAAAACAAATTAATGAAAAAAGGTGTCATTTTGTAATTTTCGTATTACGTGCCGATGACTTGACTTGTGATCACATACTGAAGCTTGATGAAGAAACCTATCATGTTTTAAAAGCAAGCAACTTAAACATTTTGAGTGAGCCCATGAAGGGTATCATTTAATGTGTATCTGTAGCCAACACTTTTTTTTTATTGTTGTTGCTTTGAACAAAGTACAGAATGGTTCAAACATGTTTTTTTCTTTTCTTGCTGTTTTTTTACCCATTGAGCAGATTTCCTCTTACATCCTTTCTTGGGGACGCAACCGGCAAGTGAATGGAAATCTCTCCAAAGGGAGGAGAACTCCCATCGAAGACAGTTGTCACCATAACAGGTGTCCCCATTGAATGATTATGAAGATCAGGAAAAATCACTAGCACTCCAATAGTGGTGCAAGCAAGTCTTTTATCACAAAGCAAACGTTTCGGGGTTGCATAGGGTCGCTTCATCAAGCAAACATCACATTGACCCAATGCAGCCCCGAAACGTTTGCTTTGTGGTCATGTGAACATGCAAATACAGCACCAACCGCTTGCCACTGCTGCACCCACCACTTTGAGATATTTGCAGTCAGAAGTGTGATGGGACTCACACAATAACCCATTGGAAGATGTCCTCCCTCCTTTTGTTCAAGTGACAACTGTAAAATTTGGGATTTCCCAATGCTTTCTAGTTTGACAATGACCACGAGGAAAAATAGTGTGGGTGGATCTTTCTGGTGGCGGCACACATAGCAATCATAACCTGAAAGAGCTTCCCCTCATCACTCGCCAAAAATGTTTTTGACTATATTGACATATTAAAGAAATATGGGAGATGTCATTACTAATTAGAAGTCCCTATGGCCTTGTTCACACAGGCTTCAACTTGTCTAAGAGGAGTGTGCAAAGCAGGATTTTGCAAAGTATTTGTCGGGGCTTTTAGGAAGCTTTGACGTGCTTCGAGCCTACAGGCAATATTGAGGTTTAGTCCTTTGTCCTCTGCTTGCCTTTATAGGGCACAGCTTTCACAATTCAAGTAATCTTTAAGCTCCCATTTACACATGTGCTGATCATCTTTGGGTGTTTCTTTCGGCATTATTTTGAGTGTTTATACAGGCATCTCAGGCTTCAGCATTTTATTTTTAGCCAATGCAAAGCTAGTTGCTAGGCAAACACTTTAAACACACAATAGTCACATTTTTGCAAATTTTTCGCAAAATCCTATTGAAGTCTATGGGGCCAAAATGCTTGAATCTGCTCCAAAAGAAGCTCATGCACTTTTTCAAGCTAGAGGCATTTTGCTACAAGCGACAGAACTCTCAGGTGTAAACAGGGGCCATTGAAAACGATGGCATTCCTCCTGTTGAGCATTGTAGCACCTCCTAGTCAGTCAACATTTGACTCTTTGTATCTTAATTTGTCATCACTGTGAAACAACCATCAAAAAAGAATTTAAAAGTAACAGCTTCTGGATTGATACAATCCCATGTAGGAATATATACAGATAAAAGTCATAGTGAAACCTTTTAATAAGAGTCAAGAAAAAGTAAAAAGAAATTAAAGAAACAGTTTGTTCAGAAATATATAAATGACTAAATCTTTAATGAAAGCTGGTTCTCTGCTACGTGTTGTGTGAAAGGTGATCTCTAGTTATTTGCTATGTAGATAATCTTGTGTCTTTCGATGACATCAATATCTCGCTCCAGCTGTCTCATTTCCACTTCCAGTCTCTGTTTGTAAGCCTTTTTGGCCGGTGTGTCGATCACAACGGAGAGGCCCTGATACTTATGGTGAAGCTCATCCCAGTTTTTCTTCAGTCCCTACACAAGAAAAGGAAACATTTACAATATAGACGTCTGAGTGGCCTTAAAGCCCAACTCCGGGCACAATAATCTTATTACAGTTCAGTAAGTTGCAGAGTGACTTTGCTGTAAAGCCACTTGCCATTTTCAGACCTGCCTGCTCCCCGTAAATCAGTTTACATGCAGGTGGAAGTCCGGTTCCTGCTGAACTTCGATGTCCACTCTGCTTATAGTGCTCCAAGTCTGAAGATTAGCGTGTCACATGTGCTGCAGTTGCATCTCTGTCCCCATTTCCTTCTGGCCAATCACAAAGCAAAAGGCCCCAGGTGGGACTACAAGGGGACAGAGATGCAACCACAACACCATCACACACTAATCTTCAGGCTTCAATGCAAAAATGTAATAAATGCACTTTTGTTTTGTATTAATTCATTGTTGGTGCATTCATTCATTTTTTTTGCAAAGGTGGACTATGCCTTTTAAGAGATCCTGTCACCAACCTAAAAAAATTCAGGTAAAAGCACAGAAAGATCAAGGGGGAATTTATCAAAACTGGAGCAGACAAAATTTGGAGCAGATTTGCACTGCAGCCAATTAACATCTCTCTCTCATTTTCAAATCTTACCTGGCCGTGCTGAAGAGAGCTGTTGATTGATTAGTTTGATAAATTCCCCCCCAAGTATTTTGAATGTTTACTTGCAGTGTTGTTCCCTTTCCATAAATTAGTATTGTTCACTTGCAGTGTGCCTTTTATCTTGCTAGAAAACATTTTCCGCCTCTCCCCTTACCTGTCCACATAAACAGTTATGTAGCAGCCAGCGGAGGAGCAAAGGGGAATACTATGGAGTGTCATTTGTATAACAGCTCTGATTCTGCTGGGGCTGCTGACATCACATGCAAGTTGACTGCGCCCAGCAGAGGTCTCAGGGCTGTTGGAAGTCTATATAAGGGAAGCTTTTACAGGTAAATAACATATACTGAAAATACAAATATGTTGAATGCAAATATAATCTTATGGGAAGATTTTTGTTGAAATGAATGGTCTAGTGACAGGGTCACTGTATGGAGAATTGAACAGACAGGGACACCCAACATCTCCCAGGTGGACAGTTAGAAATGATGGCAGGGAGATCTTGCTGTTGAAGCATCAAAGAGCTATAACCCAAAAAAGCAGAGGCTTACTCAGCCCACCAGGCTCCACCTGTGCCTAAAATATCACAATTGGGTGGACTGATCCTTCAATGAAAACAAAAACATGTTACCTCTAACACATTCTGTCTCTCTTCTTCATACAGTTGTTTCATAGCACCCATTTTTATACGTTCTTTCACATAAGCATCATATTCTTCCTGGGCTTGTCTCACTTCCTCGTTCCTTTTCACCAAGTATTCGGGAGTAGAGCCAAAATCCTTTAGAAAAAAAAAAATGCTTGTGCTGAAATCCATTCTGTGATGTTTAAGCTTTATATATGTACATACATATAGATGCAAAGTAAATTGTAGATAGTACTAAAATAAAAAATTGATCTCCACTGGAGGTAAGGTGTGATATTCCCCATGTGCTGTACTTGTCTCCAAAACATCTGTAAGGCCCCTTTCACATGCACACTGTCAGTTCCAATCAGCAGGCGACCTGCACACAGATCCCCTGCTGATCCGAGCAGTACAGAACGGATGTCACCATTGTGTGTCCATCGTCCTATTGCAGTAGTGGAAAAGACTGAACTTACCAGACTCATGTTAGGTCTATGGGGAGTTGAATGTAAGTGGACATGTGTCCGTTTACATCAGATTATTACCCTGATCCCTCACAATCAAATTCACCAAAGCTCCTTTCCGTTTTGCTTTCTGCTTTCCTGACCTAGACAGAGTTGGGCTCATTTGGATGTAAATGGATGAATGTCCATAGACTAAAGCTGGCCATACACCTATAGATTATCTGCAGATTTTCTATGGTCAGATGGAAGAAGTACAACAGATTCTTCCATCTACTCTAAACTGTGTGGATGGAGGAATCTCCCCCCTGGGCCAGGCTTCAGTATCTTGCTAGTCGGCCCTGCTGGCTCTCAAAACATCTGAACAATGCCTGCATCCAATCAGATTGTTCAGGTATTTTGACAGCCAGCGGGTCCCACTAGAAAGATACCGGAGCTTGGCCCAGCGGGAGATTCCTCCATCCACACAGTTTGGCGTACATGGAGGAATGTGTTGCACTTTTTCCATCTCACCATAGAAAATCTGCAGAAAATCTATATAGGTGTATAGCCAGCATAACACTGGCCACGAAAAATTAAAAGGCGGACCTGATTGGACCGCCTGCCTGAAAGGGGCCTAACTCTAATGTAACTCTAATTGTGTTGGCATTTTTTTACACCAATCTACCTCCTATAGCTTCATTTGTTTCCATGTTTTGAGCCACCAAACAAACATAATGACAGTGAGAATCTAATAACAAAAACCCTGCAGTGCCAGCTAAATGTCACATTCAATAGATTCTTATTTTAATAAGGTGGTCAGTTTAAACTGGGTTATGTCTAAAAGCCTCAGTGGCAGATGTTTGTGGTTGAAAACTGATAGGAAATTCCTAAATTGTCAAAAAAGCTGCCAAGTGTATGGCCAGCAGATGGATTAGTGGGCACAGTGTCAGAACCAGAAGCTTCCCCTACACAAAATGGATTCAGGTGCTTTCCCAGAAATATGTTCAGCATTTGAGATTAGTTTGGGACGCATCTGAGAGGTATTGAGAGATATTTACTACATTTTCACGCTGATCTGAATAGAGGAAAAATAACAAAGCAACATCAACCAGGAACCCTCACCCCCAAAAAAAGTGAGCACCATCCCAAAGAATCTAGTTTGGAATTTAAACACTGCCTTCCATGTTCTTCAAATAGGTCCTTCACAAACATATGTCAGAAATAAAACACAGAGGTCCATGTACACTAGCTCCAAAGATGGCTACTGACTAATAAGACACTGTCACTTTGTCCATTTAGAGAAAGTAACGGAGCCTCCTTATAGCCAACCCCCCCAAACACGGTATAGTCACTGATCCATGCTCCGTCATGTCTACCAGCTCTAGTCAGAATGCTCATTCCATTGTTCTAAGGGAGCTGGGCTAGCAGGTATGGTAGGGCAGTGCTTAAGTCTGATTTTCAAACACTGTCATGGGTTGGGGGGGGAGGTGTAAGTTGCTTGGGTAAGCACTGGCATCATCTGACACCAGAGCATATTTAGGTGGAACTCCTGCAACATGGAGGTGGCGAGGGAGCCTGCGTTGGACAGTGTTACAATACTGAGAGGATGGGCCCTCAGGAGCCACTGCCATTTTGTTGAATGGGCTGGTGATGATGCCTCTCTAAGGCCTATCAGGCATGCAGGCACAATCCGTCTTCTCTCAGGACAAGCTGGAATTGGAGACCTGCTTAGTGGTCAAAACATTTCTGTGAATGGAAGAAATGGGACAGGGGTGAAGAGCAGGAAAGAACCCCGCCAGTGTCAGGGTTTTCTAATCTCTCTAATTATTAGCCTTTACTGAAAGCATAGTCCACAGCCACCCACAGATCATAGAATATCATTCTTTTTTTGGGTTCCACCTCTATCATCTGTGTGTTCTTTTATGCTGGTCATAGATATCTCATAAAAATAATGGGAAGTGAGACATCTGCATGTCCTAGAAGCTGTCACTGTGCCACCAGGACCTGTCATATGGGTTACTGCAATTCTGACAGTGGGCTTTCCAACAAGACTATCAGAGGTGCTTCATCTAAAGCAATACTCAAATCTTTAGCATTGCTTGGTTATACCAGGCCAGCCGGCATTAGTCTCAATGGTAATCACCTAGGACAGAGTTTTTCAAAGCCATTGTATACAATCATGAAGCTATGGCAATGTGACCTTTCATTGTTTGCAAAATAAATAAGTCTTCCTTTTAAGCTGAACTATACTCAGTGGAGCATTGTGACAAAACAGTTATTTCCCCAACACAGGGGAAGCAATGGAAGAAGGGGGGAAAATGTATATTCCACAACGACCAATCAGATACCTGCTTTTATTTATGACCTACCAGTAAAAAAGCTGCATTATGATTGATCAACTTTAATCACTTCCAATGTGGAAATAGAATGGGCAGAAAGCCAGCAATACAATAAAAATAGTGTGCCAGACTTAATAAATAAGGTGATACAAAAGATAACATTCAGATTACTGCAGCCACAGCATGCAATAAAGTTTTCTATTTATATTTTATGCGTGGATGTGGATGGGTGTTATTTATATTTTTTTGGGTTATAGCATGCAGCTGTCCTTCCCCAATGGAAAATATATGATAGATTTTGTGCCGAGATACCAGTTGATGGGCTTGCATGGAGGCAGCGTTTTATTTTTGCTTAACTATAGGATGCATACGAACATTTCCATATATTTGTGCAGCTTTAATGCTGCATTTTACTGGCATACGAATGAATACGGTAGATGTAAAGTGCACATAGTTTGTATTTTAGAATAATGGATACGCTATAAATTACCCCTGTCTTCATTTAAACCAGCATTAGAACCATTTCAGAGTACGTATGTGATTGACGTGTGTGATAGATAGATATCCTCTGTCCATGCATTAGGCCTGGACTTAGGAGCATGCTATGGGACTTCCAACATAACAGCTTTCCAGCAAACAAAATGCTGAGCAAGTACAAAAGTTAATGTCATCCTGAGATGACTGATGGCAGACATTCCTTATCTCGGAGTATAAATTAATTATGTGATATTTCCTGTTGGTAAAAGCCTCGGTGGCGGCTACATTACCTTCCTTTTGATGTATTTAGGAACAAGTCCTGAGGTTTCAAGGAGATGCTTGTCCCCTTTTTTGGTGTCCACATAGATGGGCTGTGGCTTTTTAGGAACAGCCATGACAGCTTCAGCTACATTAGTTTTGATGAAACTTTTGTTAGTTTGCACGCCCAGGATTGGCTGCTCTATTCTTGTTGGAACTGGGGGCCGCTTCTTGTCTTCTGCAAGGCATCTCGGTGGTCTTCCTGTGGAGTCAAGTAAAGCACTTTCTTGTTGGGCACAAGAAAGGCAAAACATGTGATTAGTAGCATATAACACAGTTTTTAGGGGCTTATGTATGAACATTCTGTTCATCGTATAGCTGGGTAAATGCCCTTCCTATGCTCCTTGGCTCTATATAGTGGCAGGAATGCTCTGTAAATGGCTTTTGGTGCCTTGTGATTATTATGGCACTCCCAACGCTCCCACAACATACAATAACACACCATGGTGCCGTATGGTGCCTTGTGATTATTATGGCACTCCCAATGCTCCTACAACATACAATAACACACCACTGTGCCGTATGGTGCATTGTGATTATTATGGCACCCCCAACGCTCCTACAACATACAATAACACAGCACTGTGCCGTATGGTGCATTGTGATTATTATGGCACTCCAAATGCTCCTACAACATACAATAACACACCACTGTGTGGTATGGTGCCTTGTGATTATTATGGCACTCCCAATGCTCCTACAACATACAATAACACACCACTGTGCCGTATGGTGCATTGTGATTATTATGGCACTCCAAATGCTCCTACAACATACAATAACACACCACTGTGCCGTATGGTGCCTTGTGATTAATATGGCACCCCCAACGCTCCTACCACATACAATAACACACCCCTGTGCCGTATGGTGCATTGTGATTATTATGGCACCCCCAACGCTCCTACCACATACAATAACACACCACTGTACCGTATGGTGCCTTGTGATACAAAAAATACCGCTGGTACGTTGTTGCGCGTTGGCAGACCATTCAAATTAAAAGACTGCTTAACACAATGCATGTTAAAGCACACCATAACGCATGTGAACACTCTGCAATGGACCTGGCTGGTGTGAATGGGCCCAAAGGGTGAAGGGACTTTACACGTTATACTGATACTTCCTCATCAACATTAGGCTGACCATATATGTCTCAAATTTGGGCTGATTCCTGTGAATCGGTCAAAAATCAAGCCATGGGAGGCCCTGCCGACATCACTCGGCTCAACAAAATTTAATTCGAACAATCAGCTTCTCGGGTATAGCCATCATTATTGTCATTCTGCTTGTCCTAGAATGGGAAACTGTGAGACGGCCCCCATTGAAGTTCATAAGGATTGACTTTGCACCAGTAATAGCCAATATATGAAGATTTTGGCCCCAGGTGACAATACTGAGGAGGAATGTGGATAATATATGTCTGGGGCAGAGGAGCGGAGTAGAAAGGATAAGTGGATTTTAATTTTCTTTTGCACCCTGCAACATTCTGCTTACTTTGGGTCAGTATGGCCTCTCTTGTGTGTTTCTGCAAGTATTCCTTTGGTGATGGGACTTCTACTTTTGCTGGTCCCATGGTCTTATGTGCAACTTTATTCTTCTGCTCCTCCAGCTTAACCGAGTCCCTGAAGGTGGAGGTGTATCTGTAAAAAAAAAACAGGGGATTAAAAATGATATATATATACAGACAGAATCATAAATTACTTCTAATTTCCTAAACCATTCAATCAATGACCACTCGCAGTGTCAGTCCTCTAGAACCACAGGGAAAATAATGGGACTAGTTAAAGTGTATAGAAAGCCATAATTTTTTTAGGGGGGGGAAGGGGGGGGGGAAGAGGGGTGGGGGGTCAGGTTTTTTTTGTTTTAATCACTGCTTGTGTTCCCGCTGGGGAGATTCACTTCTATTTGTTCTGGTGACCACTCTCTGCAATATAGAAAAGGATGTCAAAGCCCAATTTTTGAGTTGCCATATGAACAGGATATCAGGAGAAATCTTCCAATGGGGACACCAGTTCTTGTGACAAAAAACTGTCCCAAGAATGGATTTACCCTCTTACTTCCTATTGTATGTCTGGGACAGAAGTGGAAGGAAATCTCCTGATGGGACACAGACAGCAAAGAATAAAAAAAACAAAAACATAACTGATACGGGCCTTAAAATGCTACCCTCTGGAAATATAGATTGTACAAAGTTATAATTTTAGCATAATTTCTCAATTTTGTTGAAATGGAGTTAAGGGGAGGTCAAATCAAGGTGGTTGTTTTTTTTTTTTGTTTTTTTTAAAGGACAACTGTACCTTAAAATGAATGCACACACACAA